GATGCTGTATTTGTGTTTTAGCTTAAATCAACCTGCTGAGTGCATGCTTACATCTTCAGTTACGAGGAATATTCATTAAATAAACCTTCAAGAGTCACTAGGTTTACGCCCGGAGTTTTAAACACTCTGTTCCGTTGAAGAGGGTCATCGTGTTTCAACCAGAGTTTAAAAAAAATGAGTTCTGAAGGACACCGCAGTACAGTACTTGACGGGGATGGTGTGGCGGTAAAATTAACTAATTCCAATAAAATTAATTTATAATATTGGAATTAGATAATTTTACTCGAGCAGTTGGTCGAGTGTTTTGGAGACCTTTAACCTCAGGAAAGAGACTAGGGATTATTCAGGGAAAATTCAGATATTTCCCTGAGCTCTGGTTAAGTATAGTCTTCTCTCATCACCCCATTTTTTTATTATTTTACAAAGTTATATTTTATTTTTATTTCCATATAGACTAACATATTCCCATTCAAAGACTCTCTCGAGCTACTCAGGCGAGGGACGAGACCCCAACGAGCAGCAAGTGTTCTGTCTCTGGGTCCCTACGTTTGAGGCGCTGAACAAGTAACCCGGCGGCCCCCTACTGGCCAGTGTGTACAGTAGTACTCATGGCCCAGATACGTGAGAGCAGCTCGTATAGAGTCAAACTACAGTATTATGTTAGTTGATAATAAACGATTACTTAACCATCTAATTTCAATAATCAATAATATAATCACGAACAAATCCTTATATAACAAACTCGTACTCTCTCATAGTACACCGTGATGTACTCATTGAGTCCAGCGACGGTGAGTGAGATACAGTTCTTTAAATATTTGTGGTGGAGCTGAGGGGCGGGTAGCTCATTCGTCTTCCAGTTTCGCCTGGGCTAGTGTCTATAGAGAGAGACTTTCCTCCTGAATGGGTTGTGGCAGAGAAACTTGAGGGGTCACACATAGGACACACCTGCTAACTCTCTCTCTCTCCTCTACAACCTTACACTGCGAGCCCTTAGTTACTTCTCTTGGGTCTTTCTTAAGTTTCTGTTTCAGTTGGGTGTGTGAGAGTCAGGGTGTTGGGTGTGAGAGTCAGGGTGTTGGGTGTGAAAGTCAGGGTGTTGGGTGTGTGAGAGTCAGGGTGTTGGGTGTGAAAGTCAGGGTGTTGGATGTGTGAGAGTCAGGGTGGAAACTTTCAGAAGACGTCAACTTTTAAATATGTACTCGTTGTAGCGGACCACAAGACGCCTGAGTCAACTGAAAGCTGGCCCTCCACCTTACCTTAGGTCCTCCTCCGCCAGGTACTGAATCCCCCCCTCCCCCTCCTCCCTCACCTGCCATCCCCATCACCCCCTTCCCTGTGAGCCTCAAACACCCCCCCTCCTTACCTGACAGCCCCTCAACCCCCATCATTAACCCCTTCTCTCGCTCTCTCTCTCACATGCAGAGTAAACAATTTAACATAAGTGAGGAAATTAAATACCTTAGCCCCGTGAAGTGTTCAGACAGGTGTTACAATACTATAACTTCTTCATTAACTTTCTAAATTAAAAACAAAACAAGAGAGAGGTGATGATTTTCGTTTAATATACCTGTGTGTGTGTGTGTGTGTGTGTGTGTGTGTGTGTGTGTGTGTGTGTGTGTGTGTGTGTGTGTGTGTGTGTGTGTGTGTAGTGAGTTTAAAATGTCATTCTGGTCATAATTTAATAGTTTTCTAATATATTCCTATGTGTCTGTCTATCTGTCTGTCTATCTGTCTGTCTGTCTGTCTGTCTATCAATCTGTCTGTCTGTCTATCTCAGTCTCTGTAGTCAGTAAGCAGAGCAGAAGGGTAATGGAGCCAAGACAGACGCCTTTGAGTGTATACACGGTCTCATTCCTTCACTCCTGTACACACCTTTATAGTGTCTGGTGGCCGAGTTCACTCATATCCCCCCCCCCCTCTCTCTCTGTCTGTGTCTTCTTCCTCTTTGTCTCTACATCTATGTCTATATTCCTTTTTTCTTTTTTTTTCTTTTAATTATTTACTTTTATTTCTATCCTCTCTCTCTCTCTCTCTCTCTCTCCGTTTTCCCCTTTTCTCCATTTCTTTCTTCCTCTTCCTGCCTTCGATCTGCCTCACTATAGCGGGTTTTTTTCTCGCATTTTTATCCGTTTATCAATTCCTCTCTATCTCGGTCTTTGTCTCCACCTTTTCTCTCACTGTCTGTAATTCTTTGTTCGTTCTTCTCATTATCCGTTTCTGTTTCTCTTCCCTTATGTCTCAGTCTTTATTTATCTATCTATCTCATTTTCTGTCTGTTTTATCATTTTGTCGCTAGTCCTCTTTTATGTCATTCTCATTCACTTTGCGGCTCTCTCTCTCTCTCTCTCTGACTTCCTTCCTCCCTACATACAGCTCAGCATACAAACACAAATGAGAGAGAGAGAGAGAGAGAGAGAGAGAGAGAGAGAGAGAGAGAGAGAGAGAGAGAGAGAGAGAGAGAGAGAGAGAGAGCCTCCCCCCCTACGTCTGATCTAACAGGCATAACAAGGACTGACGGTTTCTCTCCTAAAAAAAACATCACCCACAGACGCCGCCACAAAAAAAAACAAAATAAAAAACAAAATAAAAGCAAAAATCAAGAGACGCGTGACTGCAAAGAAGAGAGATATTTGCCGGGAGTAAATTAAAATCTTTGTATAATGGAGCTGTGAGAAGACGTGGTAGAGCCTCGACACCCAGCTATAACGGTGTAAATAAACCTTAGGGAGCGTTCGTCACCACCAATCCGGATCACGTGTGTCTATCAATCCGTCTTGGGTTTATTAGGAGGTTTGTGATTGGTCGAGTTCAAAGACCCTATGCAGTGATTGGTTGTATTTAAAAACCCTGGATTCTGTGATTGGCTGAGACGAAACACAAACAGTAATCTTTGTGACTTGGGTTATGTAAGTCTCCACTGTTTAAATTGGTGAATCGGGAGTCCTACTTAAAGGCTGAAGAATAGAAGAGGAAAAAAATCTCACATAGAATCAACTGAAGGTGTGTTGATGACGTAGTGTGTGTGTGTGTGTGTGTGTGTGTGTGTGTTTATGTTGTCACTACCAACCTCGTTAGCTATGTGTATTTACCTTCATCCACAAGCCCCTGCTGTCTACCACACCCTAACAGTTGTTGTGTGTGCATGTGTCCTATAGGTTGTCGCTAACTAGGGTAAACCACAGATGTATACAGTTGTTTGCTTGCCTGAACACAGCCTCTTTAGTAGTTAATCATGTTTGTCTACGCTTAATGGTCTTCATGGCTTCCTTCCTGCCCTCATCCACCTGTAAATTAGTCTCCAGTTAAGAGTTTCAACATCTGTGTGTATGTGTGTGTGTGTAATAATAATAATAATAATAATAATAATAATAATAATAAACGGTTTATTAATAGAGTTGCAGCCGGTGGCTGAAAATATGCAGACTTACATTTGATTTAGACATAATGATATAATATGAATTGAATACATTTAAAGGGCTGTACAGTACATAAATCAGGAGTTGTTTATTATTGTAACAATAGATGGGATGGTGCTGTTCTTATATCTAACGTTGCGGGCTCGTATGTGTGTGTTCGAGTATGTGTGTGTGTGTGTGTGTGTGTGTGTGTGTGTGTGTGTGTGTGTGTGTGTGTGTGTGTGTGTGTGTGTGTGTGAACTCATTAACAACCTGCTCGTTACCTCTCCATACATCGACAATTAGTTCACCTGGAGATTAGGCACCACAGCTTATTGCACCTGATGATTAAACACCCTAACGTTAACCTAACCTATGCTAGCCCCCCCCCCCTAAGTAGCGTTCAGGTGATTCCAATAATTATGGGATTTAATAATAGTCTTTAGAAATAGATCTTTTGTATATTCTAAATTTTAATTCGTTTATCATTTTTTTCTGGGGATATTCTTCTGTTATGTGAAGTGTAGTCATTTTTATAAAACGATAATTTTGTATATTTATTCGATAATTATTCTGAAATATCGAACAGAATAAATATCTCTTGAAAAAATAACTCAACAATCGATAAATCTAGAAGGGAGGAGAGGAAGAGGGAGAGGGAGAGGGAGTGGAGGAAGAGGGAGTGGAGGAAGAGGAAGAGGAAGAGGAGGGGAGGTGTAGTACATTCATTGTTTTAAGAGCTTTAGATAACAATGACAAGTGATAAGCTTATACACACACGTCAGGATTCCCGGGGCCTGGAATAGCAACTGAGTATATATATATAGACATCATCTCAGGGCGGTTATACTCCGTGACCGACGAAAGACAGGCTGACTACTCAAAATGTTTATGTTGCTATGATGTAGTCTCCTCTGTGTTGGGGATAAATACTTCACATATTATGACTTGAGTAACATAAATCTATCATTTGTCCATTAGTAGTTATTTTTCTCAACTCGATTACGTTTTTTTAACAAGATTACACTAACAGTTGCTATTTGTGTGAGTTAATCGCACTCATGTGGTAAGTATCTACTGAGAAACGGTCCCACAATAAACTCTTTTTAAAACACATCTCGACCGTCGCCAAACACGTCTGGTCAATACTTGGCCGTCCCAAACACATCCTCATAACACACATGAGGGCATAGTGTACGGGGATCAGCAGGACACCACCCAATTTTGTTAGTGAGCAACACTGAGGGTCAGGTGAGGGGCAGACGAGGAGTGTGGTTGGACCCGGGCTGGGCTGTGTCCTGTTGTTTCCCCAAGACAACTGCTCACCCACCTTTGTCTCAGGTTATCACTGAAACATGTGATCCATTTGCAATCAGACCATCCGCCCCCCCCTTGTATCACCTCACTCTTTGATGCCTTGCGGCTATTGGTCAATGCTTTACGGTATGTTGGCTACGCGGTAATGGGGGTGGTTAGGGGGAGGAGGAAAAGGGAGGGAAGGGGATGAGGGAGGAGTGAGAGGGGTGGATGGACGGGGTTAAAGATGTAGGTCTCCACACTTCACCAAGCTCACATTCTCAAGTAGGCTGGGAGCACCCATAGTGGAGGTGTGTTAGTCTCCAGTGCGTATTACAGGAAGCTACAGGTGTGAGTGGCCATGAGGCACTAACAATCGTCAGACGAGTCTCTCCGATCTAAAGCAAACGTGGCAGAATACCGTGTGTCGCGCGGGAACCAGCCAGTGGATCTTTCCTCGTGATGAATACTTGAGTGTGATGGAAACTAGCAGTGAACTGACATATAAAAACATCAAGAAAGATGACATTCGGAAATTTAAGTTCCTGACACAACATTACCACCAAGAGTTTATGAAGTGCTTGAACAAGTGACGTCGTGGTACTTCACCAGCATACTCATTAAAGTGAAGTGTTGTGTTGACTCTGACGACGAGATTTAGTTACCCAGTACTTCCCGTGTAACAACGCTCAGTGTACAGTATTCACTTCAGCGGCGGCTATCACAAAAATGTCTCAATATTTACTTGTTGGCATCATCCACATGTCCCTTCACCAGGTAATAATTAAAGTTTATTATCGTTTTATTTTTATTTTTATCAACGTAAATATTAAAAGTGTTGCATCATCTTCAATAGACGGGTGTCATAAACAGCTGAATTTCGTAAACAATTTATTTCCGACTCTCGCGTTCATACACTCTCAGAACTCCCGATATGGCGGAGTTTATTTTCCTTATGTTGACGCAGATTGATGACGTCTATCCTGACTACATATTTCAGACGGTTGACCTGTGATGCCAGGTTACTGTCGTGATAATTTAACCACTTGTGTACGGGTTCCCCTCCAAGCTGAACATAATCGTCAGCCGTGAGGCAAATAAATTAATTATTAAAAGTGGCGTCCCCGTAGTGAAGGGGTTAAGGACCTTTAATCTGGGGATCGCCTTGTGAGGGTGACCCGACTGACCCGTCAATTGGGCCCCAGTCCTAATAGAACCCACCACTAATAATTAACTTATAGTCAGTTAGCTAGGGATCTATTAGGACCGTGTGTGTGTGTGTGTGAACAGGAGAAAAAATAACATGTAAGGTTCCACACACCCGCACATGTGGCGCGCGTAAGTGTGTGTTAACAAAGAGGGAGGCGCTCAGTGCGTGCTTGTGTGTGTGTTCACCAGGTCTGAGTCCGGGGAATTTTACGAGAGCCAAAAATGGTGGTGGTGTGTTGGCGATGGTGGTGGACGTGGTGATAGTGGCGTGGTGGTGGTGTGGTGGTTTTGACGTGGTGGTGGCGTGGTGGGGGTGAAATGTAGGCAACTCGGTACAATTTTTCTCAGTAAGTGAGGGAAAGTGATACAGTGACAAATTTTCAGTCACCGAATGAATTTGTGACGATTTTTTTCCCCCGTCAATGGTTGAGTGAGTGAGTGAGCCACTAAGAGTCACGCACTGAGGTATTTAGCGTCTCTTAAACTAGCTCAGCATCACCAGTCCAGATACAATGATGCGAGTACAGGTAAATCAGGAAGTCTACACTGCACACACTCCAGAAAATATCTTCACGGAGAGGCGGCCATTGTATTAGAGTCAAACAAAGATCAAATTCTATAGAAATGTCAGTGAAAAATGTGTTTATTCAACAATTTTAAAGTTATTTTATCAATAATAATTTTCACACATAACATTTACCAATTTATCAGTACTGTGCCATTAAAAAAAATCATGAACAGTATAATTCATAACTTGGGAAGATAAGCAATTTTTTTTTTTAAATCTGTGAAGTGAACTTATTTGACTTTTTTCAACATCTTCCGCCTAAATATTGTAAAGTCACTGAAAAAACACAAATAAAATACCGGGGTATCATTAATCAACCTGGTGTTTGAGTTCTGTAGACATCTGAACTGTTCAAATGGTCTCCGTGACTACCGTTGATCGACACAGTAAGGTTGGCTAAAAATAAAATAAACTCCTACTATTATTATTAAGTTAGGGACAGGGATGATCAGTTGTCATTCAGGTGATTGAACAGATGTGAACAGGTAAGTATTAGTAGTCTGAAGCGTGACGTTTTCGTTATTGGTTGTCTCAATTAATCTTTATACTTTTCTTCTTGTTTTCCAGGTTCTGTTGTCTATACTTTCAGTGATGTTGAAATACTAAATTACAAAGTTTATGATAAATGGGTTTTCTCTTCTTGCCAATAAATCAACACAATACAAAGCCAACGAGAGAAATATTACCCACCCAAAATTACCCTTAGTAAAGTGAAGCCATTAAAATATTTCCCTTTTCCCCCTATTTTTCCCTTCTTTTCCCCTCTTTTTTCCCTTCTTTTCCCCTTCTTTTCCCTTCTTTTCCCCGTCCCCTTCTTTTCCCTTCTTTTCCCCTTCTTTCCCTTCTTTTCCCTTCTTTTCCCCTTCTTTTCCCTTCTTTTCCCCGTCTTTTTCCCTATTTTCCCAGAATTCCTTTAACTTGTCTCCCAATTTTTACGATTTTGTTTTTACAGACATAACATACAAAAGGTGCTAAAGAATGGTGTTATTTATCGAGTTTCTTTAATTGTTTACAGGTGATAGTGAGCACCGCCCAGAACCTAAGGTAAGTCACACCTGTAGGAGTCATTAGTGAGGGACAGGTAGGAAGGGGTACAGGTAAATAGGTTTCTCTTTATGGAATCCTCTCTAAACTGTATGATTTGTGTGTAGGTGTGAGTATATGTGTGTATGAGTGTGTAGTATTTATGTTCTAGGTGTATGAGTGTGTATGTATTTGTGTAGGTGTGTGTGTGTACGAGTTCTGGCAGCGCAGAAGCATGAACACTTGTGCATGAACTTAAAGAGAAACTTATAAATAAATGTACTCCGTGACTATAATTACCAAGGTACTTTTTGTTCTATAGCAAAATCAGAGAGAGAGAGAGAGAGAGAGAGAGAGAGAGAGAGAGAGAGCCTCAAACACACTACAACATAATGAACAAGTCGTGACACCTATTCATTCTACGTGGGAATGATCTGTACACATTAACAGGATAACCCTTGGCAGAATGTAAACAAACCTGACCTTCCTATCATGTCCGGGATAAACTGTAACACCTCCATACAAAAAATAATAACTATAAGAAAGATAAAGACACCAATGTTCAGCAGGCTGACCCAAAGAGCCATTTAACTATGCACACGTCACTTGTTTACCCGGAGTGTTACAGACACGTGGAAGAGTTGGCCGGGATGTATCGTGAGAGAAGGTGTCAGGTGTGTTCAGGTATAAGCTCAGTAAATGTCGTCTACCTTCAGGTGTATGTGTGTCTGACACAAAGTTCTTGAACCCAACGTATATGTGTATACCTTCAGCTCACTGTGCCTGGAGGAGGGGAGGTTCCCTCACCCGCGGGAGTGTGGGGGCTATGTGGAGTGTGTGGCAGGGGGCGTGGGGAGCGGCCTCTTCCCTCGGGTCTACAAGTGTCCTGGGGGGTCCTACCACCCCCGTCTGGCCAGGTGCGTCGTCAACAAACAGGTGAGTGCTATGCTCCGATTTCTATTTGATCTGGAAATCATCTTGGTATAATTATTTACCCAGATGCCTATTACCATTGTTTCTGTATTAGTGTGTGCACTATAAACATTGTTTTACACGCAGCAGAAATTATTAACCTATTATGTTGACTAGACGTAATTTTCAAGAAAAACAAATAATTGGCTGTATGTTCAAGATATTTTTGGATAAGAATATAAGTCATCATCAGACCTGAGGGAGCCACTCAGAGAAGTTGTAAACAACTGAGGCTGCCAACACAACAACTTAACTCGAATAATGAACGAGACTTGTTTAATATTCTGCAGCGTTAAAGTTACATCTTGCCTTCCAGGTGCCGCGGTGTAGCGGTGACAAGACCGAATATTTTTCAAGAAGGCGAGAGCTGGCCCCAGTGGTTACTGTCGAGGCTCCTGTCCGCTCTCCCAGACATGATCACCTGTGTGAGGGAGGCGCGGGGTTCGCCTGCGCCTCTTGCATTCACTCTATGGTGTGTGCAGGGGACGAGGCCTTCCTGCAGTCCTGCCCACCATCCACTCGCTGTATATACAACAACAAATTCCCCAAGGGTGTGTGTTACCCCCACCCTTCCCGGCACCAGTGTGTGTGTCACGACAAGCAGCGCGTCCTTCAGGACCCCTATGACTCAACTGCCTTCCTTCTCTGCCACACCAACAACCCCGACCCAGAAATCATCTATTGCTCACACCAACACGAATTCGACGCAGACACCGGGAAATGCATCGTCATTCCTATTTTCCCGTCGTGTACCGCCTCGGGGGTCTTTTCGTTGCCGGAAAAATGTCGATGGTTTTACACCTGCGTGCAGGACGGGTCCAACCAGTGGCAGCAGCACCACAGCCGTTGTCCCAGTCACCACCACGTGTACAGTCAGGTGTTGGGGAAGTGTACCAACCGTGACACCCTGCCGCTGGAGGACCCCTGCAGTAAGAAGCACAGGAAAATATCCCAGTACAGGTGTACCTTCTGGCAGGTGCTGTTAGTGTTCTTCTTCCCGCACAAGATAGGCGCCATCTGTTACTCTTGAGGTGAAGCCTTCGTCTTAGGTGTCCGTCTCATCATCATCATCGTCCTCACACCTCCATCTTGGCTTCCTAACATCTCTCCCGCACTATAGTCATCATCTACACCAATTTGGACATTTATATGTGTATACACACACATCATCGGGGTGCAGAGGCCGAACGGATAGATAACTCGCCTTCTGTCCAAAGGAACGCTGGTTTGATCCCGGGCACTTCCAGTCCACCTTACTTTACAAGTTGGGGGAGTAAGGACGGTCGGGTGCTGTGTCGGCCACACTGCCTACTTGCGTGCCGAAGGGTTAGTAGTGTGACGTATCCATTCACATTATTTCCATCGGACCGTCATCAGGTAGATGGTGCCTAGGTTTCCTTTCACAACTCTGGATGTGTGAGTATTACCAATAACCTCAAGAATATTTTCCATAGTCTACCGTATACATATTCCTTTGCCTCGCTAAATATACACAAACGTCATTAGTCTAGTACAAGGTAAACAATGTGATGAGTAGATATGTCAAAATGTTTCCTGCTGATCTTAAGTTGGCTGCAGTACTTAAGAACTATGAACCCTCCTCCGTCTAGCCTCATGTCTGCTAGTACCAAAGATTTTATCTATTACCATAACAATGTACAATGTAATAAATGATTGATATTTACGTAATCTTTTCTTCATCCTTTAAGAACGTTTGGGCCACGGACGTTTGGTTTGGGCCAGGGTAGTTAGGACCTACCCTACCCTACCCTACCCTAACCTAACCTAACCTAACTTAACCTAACCAACAAACTTTCTAAATTTTTTATTTTATTTATTTTCTCTAAAAAAAGAAAAAAGAAAATCAGGTAATATCCAAGGAAATAAAAGTTCTGTGACGCAACACACACACACACACACACACACACACACACACACACACACACACACACACACACACACACACACACACACACACACACACACACACACACATTACCATAGGCACACACCAGCCCCCGCCTGACTGCTGGACATCCCCCGTCCTGCAGTCATTCAACCCTGCTGCAGGTCCCTGGGTCCACCCCGACCAGGCCAGACCCCGGTTCATTTGCCTCACCAGATCGAATTCTTTTTCCCCCAAATGACCTACGGGAAGCCACGACACTATACAAGCACCATAACACTATACAAGTGCCACGACACTATACAAGCACCGTAACACTATACAAGCACCATAACACTTTACAAACACCACAACATTATACCAGCACACCTGGACACTATACAAGTACCATAACACTATACAAGCACCACGACACTATACAAGCACCATAACACTATACAAGCACCGCAACACTATACAAGCACCATAACACTTTACAAACACCACAACATTATACCAGCACACCTGGACACTATACAAGCACCACATTACCTGTATTGACTCACACACTGTTCTCGTTAGCTGAGTCAACTAGATTTTTATTGTTGTATTTTTAACTTTCGCGTCAGACTAAACACTTGGTTGTTGCCAGAGGACTTTATAATTATATTTGTACACACACATACACACACCCACACGCCCACATACACATACATACCCACGTACATACATAACACACACACACACACACACTATAAGGAGCTTGAATCAGTACTAAAGGAGACGGGATGTGTACAGTTGAAGATTTTTTTTGAGTCTTTTGTTTTGATTCATTATGAGCAGTGCAGAGAGAGAGAGAGAGAGAGAGAGAGAGAGAGAGAGAGAGAGAGAGAGAGAGAAGTACGATGTCTAGTTCAGTATTTTGATCTCTCTCACCGATTTTGTCACCACCCTGACCTTCCTTATGTGTCCATGACCCACCAGACAACACAAACACCTTCAGGTAAGTCCTCGTTCTCAGGGTTCACATTAAAGAGGCCGAGAAGCGCCTGTTGGAGGCCTTCTCGTACAGCTGCGCCCAGGTAAAGTGTTAGTTTGTGAATGCGAGTGTGACTAATTCTAATAACTCACTGGTTGCTTTTCACATTCTTCAAGGACTGAAAAAAAAAGGTGTCAGTTCTTTTAGGTTTTAGTGGCGTGGCGTCAGTGTGAGAGGTAAAACGTTACTTTCTCAACGTCTCTTTACACCCAAGGCAATTCTCTTATTTTTAAACAATAATATATTTGTCTATCATTATTATTTTGTAAAGTTCTAATGAAATTAATAAAATATTTCAATAAACAAAAATATTAAGGAACTTTTAAAGTAAGTAAATCATAATTCAATTCGATCAAAGTGAAATTTAGTTCAAATACACATATACAAATTATCACTGGCACCGTGACTCGTAAACTCTAAGCCAGTACCAGACTGAATCCATAGTGCAAATTTGACCAACTGTTTCACCAACATTCTACGCGAATCCCTTGACCTTAAAATCCTAACCCAGATAGATTCAGCATTGTTTCCTGGCGTGCTCTGCCCTCTTATTTACATATCACCGCACACTTAAAAGGCCTGACCCTGGCAGGAGGAACTCCCTGGATGTTTAGTTAGCTCGGGTGTTGACTCTCAGCCAACACTGGAACAATCACCCGTGTGTGAGTCTCTGAGGCTTCAAGCTCCGCCTTTAGAACGTCTCGAAGCCTCACGTTCTCTGCTCCAAGCCAAGCCTCGGTCAGGGCACTCTCCTGATATTTTGTCAGTTTATATTACTTAAAAAATAGACAATATATACAAGTGTACTTTATGGATATATATATTTCTAAGCATGTACTTCTATTTGTGTATGTGTTCTCTCTCTCTCTCTTTCTCTTCTAAGGTACACATGTGTCTCGTGTACACAAGTGTAATACATGTGTAAGTCAGTTCAGAGACTCGCCATTCTGCATCACGTATGCATGTATGTGTGTATGTACACACGCGTGTTATGTCTGCGAGAGTGTATAAAAACGTTTGTGTATAAACTTGTTTTGGTTGCTCCTCGAGTTACTCATTGTGTTTGTGAGTGTTTGTGTTTAAATACAGACACAATGTACGTATTTGGTGCATAGTAAGAGAAATGGTGACTGTTAATGAACATGGTGTTCACAAAGTCTCTTGATGTTTGTGTTTACAGTCCCTCGAGGAATGTAAACATCAGTAAGTATTCCAGCAAGTGTTCCTTACAATTTCTGTCGTCTAACACCCCCTATCATACACTGGTGAAGACTGTAGAAAATGACGGAGGACCTACTGATGTTCTGGATGTTAAATTCTGCGAGGGACGCTCTAACACACTGAATACTTATATAACTTACGAAAGATTATCAGTTTATTATGTTCTTTACAATACAGGTCATTATCCTTCCCTGACGTGAAAACTTGAGATAAAAATAAAGTCCCGTATTTCTGACTTAACCTGTTCTCGTTATACAGGAGGCAGTGAGGCCGGCATTACACTCGACCACCTCCGTACTCCCATCTGTAAAGTAAGGTGTCCTTTCACGGCTATAGGTTGACTGAGTGTTGCCCTAGACGCTGACCACCGACCCTTAGAACACTCAGCTGGTACTCTTCCCTGGCCTAGCTGATGAAGGTTAGTAGTAGTGTATGGAGGAAGAGTCACACACAAGAAATGATCACAAAGTAACCCGTAAAACACACTCCCTACAGTCCTTTCCGTATTATACAATGTGTAAATAACCAAACACCAGCCTAAAATATAAAGTCATAAACGATTGCGAAATTTATCGTTACTGTTTACCGCTACATCAAATACTGTGGCTAGGGTCGTGGGAATGATCTAGTCGGTGGAAAGAAGAAACACAAGGAGGATAAAAAACAAACATATATTATTTTCAGAGACATCAAGGTGTGAGTGAGAGAGAAAAACCCGGAGGTGTGGTGGAGGGAATGATGACGCCACCCGCCAGGTCATGTTGACGATCATCACACCTTGGCCCGTTAACCCTCCCTCAGGCACCAGTCCCAATGATCACTGTGTTAACATTTTCTCTCAAGCTGCGGCCAAATTAACACGATTCTAGCAACATGCGGTCCTTGTCACCAGTCAGGAATCGATCAGAAACTCGGACTCGTCAAAGCTGTTGTCCTTATACGATAAAATCTAAATCTAAATAAGAATCTTTGAGAATCTAGACTCGTCAGGGTCATTACGTCATCCTGTGTGTGTGTCGGGGTCAAGGAAATGTGTGTCTGTCTGTGTGAATATACGTATGGAGGCGTCGTGGAGTATTTACACATACATACACACACACAAACACCATCTCCATATGTGTACGTCTATGTGTATGTATATGCATCTCCATAACCCTGTGTTAGTACTCAACACCACCACCAGGGGCATCATCACGCACTACTAACGTAAGTCAACAACACGGTAGGAATACTAAGTCACTTCCTCACGCCTGAATGAACGAGGAGGTTACTCATCTCTATCTCCTGACTACTGTCTTGCCCGCTGATGTGTGACGAGAGGGGTGTGTCTGTATCTGGTCAAGTATGTCCTCTGTTTAACCATACTATGAACCCACAACACTATGTCCAGGTGAGCCTCGAAGAACACTCACCACCTCGTTTTAAGCCAGTGTGATGTGTCTTGAATCCCTTCCCCGTTCCCCTACACTAGAATGAGCTCCCCCAAGGTCCCAAACTCCCCGAGACTAAAACAAAAGAGCAGAGGAGAAAATGAGAGCCGAAAGTACTCCCATGTTCTCCGGTTGTAGATGAATTTGTGAGTACGATGACTTAACCACTTGAGTGCGATCACTGAACTGTTTGAGTATGATGGCTGAAACACTTGAGTACGATGATTTAACAGCTTGAGTGCGATGATGGAACAGCTTGAGTAAGGTAACTTAATCCCTTCGGTACGATGACTAAATCACTTGAGTACTATGACTAAACCGAACGAGTACTCATAACTTACCTTGAGTACAGTGACTTTCCCGGTAACCCCTTCAATACAATGACTTAACCCTTGAGTACGATGACTAAACCCCCCTTAAGTACAATGAATGATTTAACCATTTGAGTACGATAGCTGACCACGAAACCCTTTGAGTACAGAGACTTTGAAGTGCTTATAAACTTCTAATAAATTCCCCTTTCCCTTCTAGAGTATAAAAAAATGTGACCCTCTTTTGACGTCCTTAATCAACACAAACACACAAGATACATAGGCCTACACCATTAACTAACCGCCCATCCCAACGTTGGATCCTGAAATCGTAACATATTAAAGGGAATAATTATTACTTACATATAACTTAATAATAGACTAAATCAATAAAACGATATTAGAGCAATCAGAAACACCAATCAACTTAACTTCACAAATCAGCATTAACCAGGTACAGTGCAAAAAGTAAAAAATTACAAAGCATCAAAAAACTTAGATAAGTTACCCTTAAAAATATAACGTTTTCTCTGTTCCCATCACGGCCGACAATTTTCTTTCTTATTTTGTGACTGGTAGAACAGAATCATTCGTTTGCAACTTGTTCAAAGCATAAAAATTCACTACTCTCTCACGATTTCTCTTATAATATAATTTCATAAAATACTTTTTGTATGTTTGGACACGAGAATAAGGAATAGAAGGACATTTCACCCAGTTACACGCACCACCTCCACATCCTATTGCCTCAAGAAGTAATAAGAGGTT